TCTTTAACCAGGTGAAGCCCCTTGAGATCAAAAGATCTCTTCTTCAAGGTGACCTGCAGGACATTAGTTTCACATGTAACATGAAAACAACAGAACAACAATAATGATGACAAACAACATAATGTACAGTTTACAAACTCTATTTACAGAGACAGGTACCATGAGTATCACACAGCATGTCACCCAGCTGAGTTTCAAAGTGATGCAGGGGAACCAAAGTGCTCAGTTTGAAACATGTTTGCAGACTGTTCCAAGTTAGTGGAGCTGCACAACTAAAAGCGTTCTTCCCTAAGACAGTCCTAGCACTTGGTACATTTAATAAAACAACATCATGAGATCTCAGGCAATAAGTACTTTCAATTCGTCGAGAGATCAGAGAGCAGATATAAAAAGGTAGTTTACCCAACCTGGCTTTATAGATGAACGTGTACCAGTGACTGAGCCTCCGTACAGTTAGTGAAGGCAGACCTGCCTTGGCATACAGGGTGCAGTGATGAGTCAGTGCTTTACAGTTAGTAACAAATCTCAGAGCGCTGTGATAGGCGGCATCTAACTTGATCAGGCAATGGGCAGGTGCATTCATAGAGATCAGATCACCAGAGTCCAGCACAGGTCAAAAGGTCACAGAGCCTTTTCCTGGCCTCAAGCGAGAAACAGGACTTGTTCCTGAAAAAGAAACGTAGCCTAACCCTCAGCTTTTTAAGCAGATTAATGACCTGAAGTTTAAAAGAGAGACAATCATCAAGCCAGATACCAAGGTATTTATAACAGGTAACCACTTTGAGTACTTGTCCTTGCATTGTAACAATATCCAAAGCAGTGTCTGTAGTCTTTTTAGCTTTAGAAAAGAGCATTACCTTGGTTTTCTCAACATTTAAAAGAAACTTAAGTTCAGAGAGCTGAGTCTGAATAATGTTAAAAACTGCCTGTAATTTAAACAGCAGCCTCCTGAATGGAGGGACCTGCACAGAACATCACGGTATCATCCGCATACAAATGCTTCATCCACATTTTCACCTAAACTGTTGATATGGAGAATAAAAGTGGACCGAAAACAGAACCTTGTGGTACACCATTAGTGATGTTTAACCACTCAGAAGACAGCCCATCAAAGTGAACACATTGGGACCTTTCAGAGAGGTCGTTCACAAACCACCCACTGCATGGCTGGACATGCCGATACTGAGTAGCCTCTGCTTTAAGATGCGATGATCGACGGTATCAAACGCTTTGGATAGGTCAATAAATAGAGCTGCACAACTCTGCTTATTATCTAAAATACTCGCCACATCATTCACCACTTTCATTGTGGCAGTGATGGTGCTGTGTTGCTTTCTGAAGCCTGACTGATGTTTAGACAGGATGTCATGTGTACATAAAAACTCCTTTACCTGTTCACTCACTAGGCGTTCAAGAACCTTAGCCAGAATTGACAACTTAGAGATTGGCCTATAGTTGTTTAATAAGGTGGCCTCCCCTCCTTTCAGCAAAGGCAGGACATACGCTGACTTCCATACTTTTGGAATTGTATTTGTGCTGAGGGAGAGGTTAAAAAGAGAAGTGAGAGGTGGAGCAATAACATCTGCAGCTATCTTTAAAAAGAAAGGTTCTACGTTGTCCGGGCCAGCCGGTTTCTTAGGATCTAGCTTAGATAAGGCTTCATGAACAACATCAACAGTAAAAGGAGTAAAACTGAAAGGGATTTCCAGACCACATTGTTCAGAGTCACAGACTGTAGTGTTCACAGAAGCAGAGTTAGAAACAGAATGAAACAGAGAGCCACGGGACACAAAATGCTCATTAAAGCAATTTAACATAGTAGCCCTGTCCGATATAGAGCCAGATGCTGTGGTGAGGCACGGAGGTAGCTCATTACGGATATCGCCGGTGGAGATCGATTTTATGGCTTTTCAAAATTTCCTAGGATTATTTAGGTTCTTTGTGGTTACTGACAGATAGTACTTCGACTTTACACTTTTGACATTTGAAGTGAAGCTATTCCTTAGCTGCCTAAAACGTAGCCACTCTACCTCTGAGCCTGATTTCCTAGCCTTTGCCCAGGCCGTGTTTCTCTCATGAAGGAGACTGGACAGCTCAGCAGAAAACCAAGGATTGTCTCGTCCCTTTACTCTAAATTTACTATGTCTATCAATGATCTCCATAAAACCAAGATAAAAATAAGACGATGTGGTTTCCACATCAGCACACAGATCCATTTTACCCCAATCAAACCCAAACAGATCATGCACAAAACCCTGCTCCACAAAATGTTTTATGTCTCTCTTAATAATAATACCAGGTTTAACCTTTTGGACCTTAGTGTCCCTAATTGTGGCTACAACACAGTGATCACTCAGATCATTCGCAAATACTCCCACAGATGAGTATTTATAGGGAGCATTAGTTAAAATGAGATCAATTAGGGAGGATTTATTACGGGACTTAATGTTAGGGCGAGTAGGACTGTCCACAATCTGAGTAACAAAGATACAAAGGTTTTTTAAATCCTTTCACACTAATTAAAATTAAAACAGATTTCCAGCACACATAAGGATTCTATTATGGAAGCTATTTGAATTTTAAGATATTAATTATAACATCTTATTAATAAATAAATGTCTATTACGAGAGATACAGAGAATATACTTAGTATGTGTTTATATATACATTGAAATAAGGTAGAAGATTATGATAAAGTATAAGGGGTATTAATATATCAACAATAGGATGTATAGGCACACAATCATTTGTCATGTATATTACATTTTATTTTATATCATTTGAATAAATGAAAGGATCAATTTTAATTCAAAGTTGTATCTTATTTAACCCTTAGATGCATAAGTGGGTCTTCTTTGACCCGGCGAGGTGGTTTTCTTTGTAATTACATTTTTGTATCATTTCATATTCCAGCTATTCCTCAAAAAAGATGTTTTGGATATCATGCCATTCACATTTTATACATTTTAAGAAATTGTATTTTTTTATATTTCTACCCCAAGCTTCCATAAGTGGGTCAAAAATGACCCGCATGCATTTCTATGGAATTCCGTTTTTTTTTCAAAATGTAAAAACATTTTTAGAAAATTATAAATAGTGAAAACTTAAATATAAAATATTTCTAGTGTGAACCAAAATATAATGTGATTTTTCTTAACCAAAATGACAAAAATGGCATGAAAACACATATTATTCTAATACGGGTCCTTTTTGACCCACTTATGGAAGAGTGTAGGGTCCATCACTCGGGCATCTAAGGGTTAAGGAAAATAAATCAAAAGTATGGAAGTGAAATGATGCTGAAATTACTAATGCAAGTTTTTAAAACAAATATGTATGTATTTGTTTAGCACTACTGTATATCATTGATAGCCAAGAAATAGAATAATAATTAAACACAAAAAAATGGTCAATTATATTATATGTGTTTTTACAAATATTAATATTTTTCTTTAATATTTAAAACAATTGAACAGGGACATGTAATAGAAGTCTGAATCAGCATTTCAATTTAATTAAAATTATTTTTGATAAAAAATACTCTTATACTTATAATTACTTTTAGATGAGAGTAACACATGCGTCACTTCTGGGCGAAAATTACGGCCCCGCCCACTTTGGGGGGAAAACAACGCTGTCATTTGAACGGCGGTCAATACAAATTCTGAAGTTTATGACAATCCGATCAGAAATGTTTGGATTTTTTTTTTCTTCCTCTCAGAAGAAAGGACAGTAACAGAAGAGCTCTGTGGCTTCAGGCTTGATCGCCGTTCAAATTACATCGTTGTTTCCCCCAAAAGTGGGCGGGGCCATAAAGTGACGTAGGTGTTACTCTCATCGATGGACATCGATCGCCTACTGCTATATTTAACCATATATCGAGCCCGATCGTCGATTTCAAATGATGTAATGTAATTGTTTGCCATCGTAATCGCGCTCTCTGAAGATCCAAAAATCCACAGTTTTCTTACATTTCTGATCGGATTGGCAAAAACTTCAGAATGTGTATTGACCGCAGTTCAAATGACAGCTGTGTTTTCCCCCAAAAGTGGGCGGGGCCGTAATTTTTACCCGGAAGTGAGGCATGTGTTACCCTCATCTATTCTACGCTAACAAATCTCTTAATCTGATTATTTTCATTAAAAGTAATAAAATTATGGACAATTAACATTAATTCGATCAACACATCTTAATCATATTTAATATTATTCATTTTAAAAGTACCTAATTTTAGCTAAACTTTTTTTTTTCTGATTTTAAAAATGAAATCTAATAATATTTTTGACTTGATAATCAGATGTTGTGTCTGTGTGTGTGTGTGTGTGTGTGTGTGTGTGTCTTGTGTGTGTGTGTATGTGTGTATGTGTGTGTGCGTGCATCTGTGTGTGTCTTGTGTGTGCGTGCGTCTGTGTGTGTGTGTGTGTGTGTCTTGTGTGTGTGTGTATGTGTGTATGTGTGTGTGCGTGCATCTGTGTGTGTCTTGTGTGTGCGTGTGTCTGTGTGTGTGTGTGTCTTGTGTGTGTGTGTGTGTCTTGTGTGTGTGTGTATGTGTGTATGTGTGTGTGCGTGCATCTGTATGTGTCTTGTGTGTGCGTGCGTCTGTGTGTGTGCGTGTGTCTTGTGTGTGTGTGTGTATGTGTGTGTGTGTGTGTGTGCGTGCGTCTGTGTGTGTGCGTGTGTCTTGTGTGTGTGTGTATGTGTGTATGTGTGTGTGCGTGTGTCTGTGTGTGTGTGTCTTGTGTGTGTGTGTGTGTATGTGTGTGTAAGTGCGTGCGTCTGTGTGTGTGTGTGTGTGTGTGTATGTGTGTGTCTTGTGTGTGTGTGTGTGCGTCTGTGTGTGTGTGCGTCTGTATGTGTGTGTGTGTGTATATATGTGTGTGTGTGTGTGCGTGCGTGCGTCTGTGTGTGTGTGTAATTGTAAACAAATATGTTTCAGAGTGCGTTGACGGTGATGTGCTGCACTTCTGTGAATAAAAACAAATGAAGACAGACCCACGTGATTCTCTTCCACATTGATTTTATTGTTCAGTGTGTGTTCCACTGAATGTGTTAAGACTTGTTATGGTGTGTGTTAGTGTGTGAACCTCCTCCGCCTCCATTCAGACAAAGACAAATACAAATAAAATCCTTTAAAAAGCTCTTTTTTTCCTGCAGAGAGCCGCCTCCTCTCAGACAGATCTAACCTGCCGCTGCTCAGCCGTCACTTCCACCAACACCGTACATTCATTTTATAATAAATATAATACAGACACAGAGCAGCGTTTAGGTGGCCTCAAACATCTTCTTCCTGTCGGCCTTATCCTCAACGTTCTTACGCCAGTCGCCGGCAGCTTCTTGGGGCTGTAGAGGAGGAGAAACAACACGGTTTATCATCAAAATAATATTTTATATTATTTGTATGAAGATAAAAAGTAATAAACAAACAGCGGCTCACCTCCTCTTTGACCTCCTTCTTGACCTGCTTCAGGTTGGCTCTCAGGTCCATGTTCACGCTGTGTTTGGACCCCAGAAGAGCCTTCAACATGGCGTCAGCTGACATGCGCACTTTCCTCAGAGCGGGCTTCTTCACTCCTCTCAGATCCACCACTTTAATGTTCAGATCCTCAATCTACCAGAGAAAAGACCAACATAAGGTCTGTGGTTAACACAAGCTGAAGAGGTACGCCATAAAATACGTCAGTAAATATCCCACTGGTGATTTAAAAACAGTGGTTGCTAACAAGTGTCTAAATGAGACGACTAAACGTCATCACACCCAACATTAGCCACCTTTAGCTTAGCGGTGGTGACGTGAAGTCATGTGACTGTGCTGTAGTTCCTTTATAGCCCAACATTAGCCGCCTTTAGCTTAGCGGTGGTGACGTGAAGTCATGTGACCGTGCTGTAGTTCCCTTATAGCCCAACATTAGCCGCCTTTAGCTTAGCGGTGGTGACGTGAAGTCATGTGACCATGCTGTAGTTCCTTTATAGCCCAACATTAGCCGCCTTTAGCTTAGCGGTGGTGACGTGAAGTCATGTGACCGTGCTGTAGTTCCTTTATAGCCCAACATTAGCCGCCTTTAGCTTAGCGGTGGTGACGTGAAGTCATGTGACCGTGCTGTAGTTCCTTTATAGCAGTGTTTCTCAAACTTTGTCATACCAAGGACCATAAAAAAACACTCGCGGACCACCTAACTCCACAAATATCCCAAAACACATCGTTTTTCTAGAACAGATTATAAATCGCCTGAAAATGGTACAAACAAGTGTGTGACGAATGTGTTGCCCTGGGCTTTATCATGCAATAGAAAGTGAAACTTAAGCTCGTTCCATTGCGGAGATATTCCCGCGAGAGTGCGGAAAACTTAAATGTATTTATTTATTTCAAATGTGAAATGTTACCAATATACTCACGGACCACTAGGGGGCGCTCACGGACCACCAGTGGTCCGCGGACCACACTTTGAGAAGCACTGCGTAGCCTAACGTTAGCTTTTTACTTCAGAAATCATAAAGTGGTGTTGATATGTGGAGATTATCCTGCTGAACTAAACGTGTCAGTCTCAAAAACGTTTGTTTGACGCAGAGATTAATCCAAAATCACATGGAGGAATCCCATTGGACCAGGGAGATGCTAACAGCTAACCTTGTTGTGTTTCATTGAGCAGAGATTGTTTACCTCTTTGTCGGCTTTGCCCACTTTGGACGCCAGGTCGTATCTCTCCTCATCAAGCTTGTCGAGCAGAGCGTGCAGCTTCTTGCATGTTTCCTGTCAACACACAAACACATGTTACTCAAAGTAAACAAACAACAACATGTGCACTGACTGTTGTCTTTGGCGCGATGCAGTGAGCTGCAGTTAACACAAATTATTGTAGTTGGAATTTAAATGTGTAATGACTATCTAATCCATTACACTAAAAAAAGTGTGGCTTAAATTGAAGCTAACGCAGTAACAGTTCAAATCGTTTATAAACATATTTTAAAATTCAAAAATACAAAAAAATAAAAGATTATTTAGAAATGTAAAAATGCCAATATTTGAAGATTTAAAACTTTTAAATTAAATATTATATGTTTTTATTAAAAGATTTTTTTTTTTAAAGAATTAGAAAAAAAAGATGTTTAAATAAAAACATTTTAAAATTAAAATCAAATTAAATTAAAGAATTAGAAAAAAAATAAAACATGTTAAAATTAAAAAAATTAGAAAATGTTAAAATATATTTTTTTTATATCAATTAAATTACAGAATTACAAATATTCAAAACATTTTAAAACGTTTGGTGTTTATGTTTTTGCCTCCCTCTCACCATGAGGGCAGCCTGGTCCCCGCTCATGCTGGGTTTGACGCAATGCTCCGTCATGTACTCCTCCTTCGCCGCAATATCGGCAGCTTTCTCCTCGTCGAGCCACTTGGCCGCGATGGTGAGGATCAAACTCTGCGGGAGGAACAGGAGGAGAAGCTTTCAGTGTTTCAGAAAGATAAAGGAGACTCAAGAAGCACCGTGCAACCATCTGGAAACTGCATCTAACCCGGAGGAGAAGATGCTGCTACAAGTGAATGAAATAACAACATCTAATAAGTTAAAATACAAAAATATAACAATAACAATTTGCAATTAAGAGATTTAAACATTTTGATTAATTAAAACAAATTAAAATAAGAAAAGACACAGGTTTAAATACAAATAACCAAGAAGAAATTAAATAAAATTGAATAAAATAATGTATGAATCTAAACACAAGAAATTAAATTAAGAATGTGAAAATAAAATACATAAGAAGTTATATTAAGAATTTGTAATAAAATCATTCAAAAAAAGAGTCTAATTGATATTTATAAAAGCACAAGAAATTGCAGTAAATATTTCCAATAAATAAAAAATATAAATGTTTTTTTAAATACAAATATTAAAATGTTACAATACAGTCAATCGAAACTACATGCATCAGCTATTTAATGAATTACTGAGAATTTAAAATATATATTTGTGTTTTTTTAAATCTTCAGTAGGAACCAATGGGATTTGATGACGACATGAACACATTTAAATATTTATCAATATTGTTGGGTGGCAGTGGCTCAGTGGATAGTGTGCTGGACTTCAAATCAGGGGATAGCAAGTTCGAGTCCCACTGCAGTCAGCACGTCGTTGTGTCCCTGAGACACTTCGCCCCAAATTGCTTGTCCACAGTAAAAAGTGTGGAAGGCGCTTTGGGTAAAAGCGTCTAACAAATGTCATGTTCAGGAAAATCCATAAAACCGGTGTTTCTGGATTGAGATGACGGAGAAATGCAGATTAAATCAGATTGTTTTTCTCTTTACCTTCAGGGCATGCCTGCGGCTCGAGGTCATCTTTTTTCTGTTTGAAGAAAGTCAGAAAAACATCATGAATTCATTAGATATTTACTGTAGTATGAGTACAGAGTACTTCTTCCTCTGTACTCATACTACAGTAAAGTATCAGAGTACTTCCTAACCTCTGTCTGTATTCATGCTAACATTTAGTTTAGTTAAACACTTATTCTACCAGTGTAAGTACTTATACTACAGTAAAGTATCAGACTACTTCTTCCTGTGTACTTATACTACAGTAAAGTAACAGAGTACTCCTCCTGTGTACTTATACTTCTCTAAACTATCGTAGTACTCCTCCTATGTACTCATACTCATCCTGTGTACTTATACTTGTCCTGTGTACTTATACTCCTCCTGTGTACTTATACTTGTCCTGTGTGTACTTGTACTCACTCAGTCATGGTGGCGTGTTTTCTCTCCACACCCTGCATGAGGACAGAGGGACAGAGGGACAGAGGAACAGAGGACAGAGGACAGAGGACAGAGGAACAGAGGACAGAGGAACAGAGGACAGAGGACAGAGGAGAGACGAGTCAATTTGAGGAAACCTCTGAAGTCTTTTGACCTCTGAGGTGTTTTTGGCCCCTGCAGGGAGCCGTAGTTTCGGGTTTCGGGTGTCGGTGTGAGTTTCTCTCCGAGCAGCAGATTTTCTGACGGAGTATTTGAGGCGTAAGGCGATCCGAGGCCAGCTGGAGAGGAGCGGCGTCGCCTGAACTAAACTGGGAACGCCTCGAGTGTCCGGAGACGCAGAATCAGCGAAGGGTTAAATATGAGGAATATATCCGAAAATAAACTTTGAGTATTCTTTTCATTTTCAGATCTTTTTCCTCTGAGTCATTCATTTCTAATTTAATTTAATGTTTTCAATTTGTTTTTTTCAATTAATTATCTCTTATCTCATTGTTTTATTTTCCAATTTAATTTATTTTCTATTTTTTTTAAATAATGAAACAACTAAATTAATAGAGCACATACACACAAACAACTATAACATTATCAACACATCAAAATCAAAACAGCTGCTTTACATAAATGCATAAGTACATATTTTCCAATAGTATATAATACTTTATAAAGTGTCATTTTGCATAAGAAGTACTTTTACTTTAGGTACTTTAATCTAATTTGATTGCTAATATTAATTAACACATAGATTTTTTCAGTGATTCTCGAAGACCCACATTTAAACGCTTCAAAAGCTGCAGTGTTGATTATTTAAAGTGTTATTACATTACAACAGAATTCGACACCTAATATAAAAACTGATAAGAGCCAAGAAGTGAAATCACCCTGCCGACACTGAGACGAATAAACGTATTAATATACTCTGCCTACTTTCCATTTTAACGACCAATTAACAGAGGATTAATGCAACCAATGAAACACTTCTACCTTCGAAAAACTGCACGTACGATTTAAGAGTTCAATCAATGAGCTTGTTTTTGTTTCACCGTGATATTATTCTGAAGCTCTCAGAAACTCAGACATCATAATGACACGTCGGTATGTTAGCCGTCTGACAGGTTGAGGACTTGCATTGACTCTCTGTGAGCCTCAGGACCATAAAACACAAAGAGTACAGCGCCCGTAAATCTGTGGAGGAAACGGGTCGAACGCAGAGAGCGAGTCAGGAAGGGTCAGACAGGTGGAGGAACACGAGGAAATGAATTGATTGAATCAATGATGCTGCTCTCAGAGAAGCTCCTGTAGAGACTGGATATCAAAAGAGAAGAGTAAACCTCACCTATTGAAGAGACGAAGGAGACGAAGGAGAAGAGACGCACTCGTGGAAGAAAAGGAGGCACTGCCAAAGCTACACAGTGGAAAGTGAAATCGGGTATATATGGTGGGTTGCGATGTCTCAGCAAAACGCTCACATCCTCTTTAGGGAAATGGAATTCCCTGATCGACCAATGGGCCGGCGAGATCCTTAAAATACACGAGCTGCAAAACGCCCTCCCCGAGAGCAGGCTTCGAAATGCAGATTCACACAAGAGGAGGGGGGGAATATAAAAGAACATAAACAAGAGTAAACGAGGCTATTATCTGACCTTAACAGCCCTGCTTTAAAAACACCTTTATTTCCAAAAAAGTCCCTTAAATAAACCCTTAAAGTTGTTTTTGAAGAAAGAACTTCCATTTGAATCCATCTTCTTACCATATGCAACTTCCCATTGACACTAACTTTAACATTTCTGTTTGGGAAGTCCTAATCAAAAGCGTTTTAATGATTGAGTCCAGTCTTCTTGTTCAGATGGATTTGGTATAGATCCTCTCAAAAGTATTTCATAAAAAACTTTAATTTCCAAGCAATGTTTTTGAAACAAGTGAATTTAAATTGAAATAAAAGATTAAAAAAGTGAAATAGCAGAGAACAGTTGCTTCATTAGAATGATATATATTTATTTTGATTGTTTGCCAAAGTGTTATTTGCATTTCTGTCTGCCAACAAAAAGACATGAACAAGTGTTTTGGGATTTTTGGGGAAATTGTTGATGAAAAAACTAAAGTAGGGTAATTACTTGTTTTTGAATTATTGGCACACTTTAAAAATAGAAATGTACACAAAACCGAATAGTTTTTTTGTCCTTTTCTAAATACGTCCTTGAAGTATTTCCCGAACCTTTTGATTGTTTACCCAGATGTATTTACACTTGAAAAAACATAATGTAATATTTGTAACTACATACATTTTTTGACTCCATTTTATTAATATTATTAAATTGGATTTGTTTGTGAAGCTTTTACTACATCTTTCAGTCTTCCTCTGTACTTATACTTCTCTTAAGTACCAGATTACTTCTCCTCTGTGTACTCATACTACACTAAAGTATCAGTGTAGTATGAGTACCGTACCGTGATGCCAACTTCCCTGCATCACATTTTAAACAGAAAGCTCAAATGATCAAAGTAAAGATTCTTCTTCTACGGAGACCTGGAAGGGACAATCATGGGGGGATATAATATCTAAGAAAATAACAAGTGCAAATTCACTTTATCTGCACAAACACTGAATTTAATTTACACATTTCAGGCCCCGTCCACTCGAGGCCGAAACGGAGCCGCGGCTTCGGAGCCCGAAACCGATAAACTTTGAAACCGGCTCCCAAGGTGGGTAGGTCTGAGGACGAAGCGATTGCGGCTCCGTGCGTACGCCCTATACGATCATTTCCTGAATCGATGACGCCATAGCCCCGCCTCTCCCCACCTCGTCTCCGTGTGGCCTCAGTCTCATCGGGCAGAAACTGTGGCCACCAAATATTTTTTGTGGATTTACAGACCAAGCAGCAACTGACTTTTGCATCAAAAAAATGGACGTTAACATTTAGCAGGTAGAGTTGATTGGAAAATATAGATATTGGACAATTCATATAATTGATATAGAGAATTTAGACCACATCACAATCACAAATAGGCCATAGGACACTGAAATCCCTTTGATTTTTCCCCCTAAATGTCTCTTCCGGGCCTCCGTAGATTTCAAGTTTTCCAAAGTCTAAATGTCTTAATGCTTTAAAACCTTAATTAAACTGTCAGTTTGGAGTAGAACACAGAATACGGAGTGATTACTAAACAGATAAATGTAACAAACAAATGAATCCTTATGTCAAAACATTTATTTCTAATGACTTCATGAAAACCTGTACATTTTAAAATGCTGTTTTTTCTTTCAGACATTTTAGCTACGTACACGTTGGCGTTACTTGGTGTTGATTCAGTCTGTCGGGGGGGGGGGGGGGGGGGGAAGCTATCACAACAAAAAAGAGAAAAGGTCTAATCTGTAGACGTCTCCTCCTCGAAACCTTCGGGGAAACTTCTTAGGAAGTCTCGAACATCTTCTTCCTGTCGGCCTTATCGTCGATGTTCTTACGCCAATCCAGCGCTTCCGGCGTCTGCAGAGAAAAACAACTCATTAATTAAAAAACACTCAATTTAAAGATGTCCTTTCATGCAAAGTACACTTTTTGATGTCTATTATACATAAATATGTGTCCCCGGTGTGTAAGGAGAAAATAAAATGTGTTATCTGTTTGGTATTTTGAGCAAAACACTTCATGTTTTTTATATATCTGAGACCTATAGATGAGAGTAACACCTACGTCACTCCCGGGCAAAAAGTACGGCTCCGCCCACTTTTGGGGGAAAACAACGCTGTCATTTGAACGGCGGTCAATAGAAATTCTGAAGTTTTTGCCAATCTGATCAGAAATGTAAGAAAACCGTGGATTTTTGGATCTTCAAAGAGCCCGATTACGATGGCCAGACAGGCAAAACAATTACATTAAATCATTTGAAATCGAAGATCGGGCTCGATATATGGTTAAATATAGCAGCAGGCGATCAATGTCCATGGATGAGAGTAACATCTATGTCACTTTACGGCCCCGCCCACTTTTGGGGGACACAACGCTGTCATTTGGCGATGAAGCCTGAAGCCACAGAGCTCTTCTGTTACTGTCCTTTCTTCTTAGAGGAAGTTCAGAAACACTGAACTCTGGATCTGTTTGAGGAGCAATAAACGACACAGCAGCTTGTTGGCATGATAAAACTATTATGTTCCGCCTCGCTCATGAGAGTAACAGCTGGCGAAATTACAGCCTCGCCTACTGATTTTAATTTAACCATATATCGAGTTATTCAATTAAGTTATTAAGTTATATAACCCTAACCCGATCGTTGATTTCAAATGATTGAATGTAATAGTCTGCCTGTGTGGCCATCGCAATCGGACTCTTTGAAGATCAGAAAATCCACGGTTTTCATACATTTCTGATCGGATTGTCAAAAACTTCAGAATTTGTATTGACCGCCGTTCAAATGACAGCGTTGTTTTCCCCCAAAAGTGGGCGGGGCCTAATGTTTGCCCAGAAGTGACGTAGGTGTTACTCTCATCGATCATCTGCATAACTGGATATTTTATAATCTGTATAAAACAATACTTTGGGATTTTTTTTTAATGATTTTAGATTAAAAAAGTAGATTTTAATGCAAGACTTGTGCTTTATTTAGAGGATGTTTACATTGTGGAATGGTCATTTAATTAAATAATCCTAATATTTCGTGAGCTATGACTGGTCAAAATGTCTTCAATATAAAAGGATCAGCGACAGAAAAGTTAGAAATATTTTTGAATGATCAGTCAGAGGAGACATTTAACTGCAAGTACTTTTACATTGTGTAGGTACATTTAGCGGTCTGTAATGATTTGCTAAAGCTAAAGATAGCATTGGTGTCCTAAAGAAGCCACTGATCATTTATTTGGGTTAATTGACCAGCCTGTTATTATTTGTTACCGCAAATAGCGTAGCTAGCTAGCTAACAGCAGCATTCGTTACTTCATTCGAGGGCACAACTATCATGTTTGATTTGAGACAATGCTACCCTGTGGAAATGCACACACAGTATACTGGTGTTAAAGCCACCTTTCATTTCATTTGGTTGATTTAGCAGTCTGTAATGATTTGGTACCATACACAATAGCGTAGCTTGCTAGCTAATTTAACGGTGGGAATTAACACACGGTACTGGTGTTGTAAAGAAGCCACTGATCATTTATTTTGGTTAATCGAGCAGTCTGTTATTATTTGGTGCCGCAAATAGCGTAGCTAACTAGCTAACAGCGGCATTTGTCAGTTCCTGTGAGGGCACAGTCTTCACGTTTAATTTGAGACAACACTCAATGGTGAAAATGCACACTCTGTATACTGGCGTCGAATCGAATCCACCTTTCATTTTAATCTGCTAATGTTGCCGTCTGTAGTGATTGGTAACATACACACTAGCATAGATAGCTAGCTAACTTGCTAACAGCTGCGTTTCTCACTTCCTTTGAGGTCACAGTTGTCACGTTTGATTTGAGACAATGCTGCATGGTACAAATGCACTCGTCGCACAAGTGAACAACATGCAGTGTACTAAGCAAAGTATCTGAATTGAGTCAAAGCTAATTTCAAGCCTCTGTGATCATGCGTGCTCCTTCCTCACCTCCTCTTTGACCTCCTTCTTGACCTGCTTCAGGTTGGACCTCAGATCCATGGTCACCTTGTGTTTTCCTCCCAGCAGAGCCTGCAGCATGGCGTCAGCAGACATGCGCACTTTCTTCAGAGCGGGTTTCTTCACTCCAACCAGATCCACCACCTTCATCTTCAGGTCTTCAATCTGAGGCACAGAAACATCTCAACGTGACTTTATATCAAGCTAATGCTAACGCTACGTCCGCTGGAGAGGGAACACGTGCTTTAATGCCAGGTCCACTTCAGAAAGCAGCTGATTTTGTTTCTGATTCTTCATAATAACAGACCAAACACTACAGTGGTGGTTCTCATGGATTACAGAGTTATGATAAAACGTCACAAGAAGCAGGAAAAAGTGGTAAAAACCTGCAAAAACCAACTAATCTACAACAACATCGGAGAATTAATTTACCAAAACAGATAACAGCCGAACAAGGATATATTTGACTTTTATTGCACTATATTTATCTTAAAAGTTTCTGTTACTGTTCAGATTCAGATTAAAAATACAAAATATCAACTAAAAAGTGAATATGTATTCGTATAGATTTAGCCACCCAGCAGTATTCAACGTTTTTTAACAATTTGTGTCACAGTAAACACATTTTGCAACAACAACAACAACAATCAATTAAATATTGTTATCAAATGGGACATCCTCCATAATGAGGACTTTTACTTCTTTTACGTTCAGTACATTTTGTTTTTTGTTGTTTTTATATTTCAGTAAGACGTTGACTGCTATGTTGTCTAATAAATATGTTTGTTGGGTAACACTTTAGATTAAGGTACACAAATTAACCATCAACTAGTTGTTAATTAACATGCATATTAGCAGTATATTGGCTCTTTATTAGTCATTATAAAACACTTATTAATGCCTTATTCTACAAGACCATATTCTACAAGTAATAATCCATTAGTTGAGAGTTTTTCCTCAATAACCCTCTAATTAGTGCTGATTTGTTGCAAGTAAGGAAGTTGTTGTACATGAGTTTGTCTTAATATGCTCTGCTCCATATGGGCCTAATGAGGTAGTAGTACCACAAGAATAGTGATTATCCCATAATAACACTTAACAAATATGATCTATTCTTATTTAACAATACATGAAACGATAAGTGTTAATTAAGTCTAAATAACTCAAAATGAGGTATTTCTATATAAGAACATGTTCCCTATGTTAAAGTGAAGTCTTGTTCATAACCAATAAGCTAGTAGTTTGACTCTAATGTGCATGTTGTTATTGATCTTCTCTACTTGCTTGTAAAGCGCTTTGAGCAGCAGGAAAAGCACTATAAAAATAACATGTATTATTATTATTATGTAAATGAACAACTAGTTGATGGTGAATAAGTGTACCTTAATATAAAGTGTTGTATATTTCTGTAGTACGTTGACTGCTATGTTACCTCTAAGTTGCTCTTCTTCACTTTGGACTCAGCGTCGTACCGCGAGTCGTCGATCTTATCCAGCGCCTGGTGCAGCTTCTTGCAAAGCTCCTGACGACACACACAACAGCCAAGAACGATTTCAATGCACGACTTTTACTGTCAAGTATTTTCCACGTGGTCTCAGTATTTAAAGTGTTGTATTCGTTCTCTTTCAGTGTGTTTTCAATACTTCTTAGAATAGTATTAGTACTTCTCAGTGTGAAATTAGTACTTTTTTTGTGTGATATTAGTATTTTCTTAGTGATATTAGTATTTAAAGTGTTGTATTAGTACTCTTTCAGTGTGTTATCAGTACTTCGTAGAGTGGTATTAGTACTTAGGTGTTGTATTAATATTTGTTCAGTATGTTATTAGTGTTAGAGTAGTATAAGTGCCTCTCAGTGTTGTATTTATATTTTTTCAGTGTGTTATTAGGGGTATGAGTATCTCGAAAGTAGTATTAGTATTTTCAGTGTGGTATTAGTACTTCTTTAGTGTGGTATTAGTATTTTTGATGTGATATGAGTACGTTTTCAATGTTGTGTAGGTATTTTCAGTTTGGTATCCATACTTTAGGTGTGGTATTAGTATTTGTTTGTGTGTTAATATACACTGAACAAAAATATAAACGCAACACTTTTGTTTTTGCTCCCATTCTTCATGAGATGAACTCAAAGATCTAAAACATTTTCTATAAACACAAAATAACCATTTCTCTCAAATATTGTTCACAAATCTGAAAAAACCTGTGATAGTGAGCACTTCTCCTTTGCCGAGATAATCCATCCCACCTCACAGGTGTGGCATATCAAGATGCTGATTAGACAGCATGATTATTGCACAGGTGTGCCTTAGGCTGGCCACAATAAAAGGCCACTCTGAAACGTGCAGTTTTGCTTTATTGGGGGGGTCTGAGGGGGTCTGAAAACCAGTCAGTATCTGGTGTGAGGGGTAGGGTTAGGGTTAGGGTAATGTTGTGAATCGAGTGGCCTGTGTTCGTCGTCCATTACATACGCCTGCCCATACCATAACCCCACCACCACCATGGGCCACTCGATTCACAGCATTACCCTACCCCTACCCCTACCACCAACCCTAACCCTAACCCTACCCCTAACCCTAACCCTAACCCTACCCCTACCCCTAACCCTACCCCTAACACTACCCCTAACCCTAACCCTAACACTACCCCTACCCCTAACCCTACCCCTACCCCTAATCCTAACCCTACCACTAACCCTACCCCTAACACTACCCCTACCCCTAACCTAACCCTAACACTACCCCTACCCCTAACCCTACCCCTACCCCTAATCCTAACCCTAACCCTACCCCTACCCCTAACCCTAACCCTACCCCTACCCCTACTCACACCAGATACTGACTGGTTTTCGGACCCCCCAGACCAAATGGTTATTTTGTGTATATCGAAAATGTTTTAGATCTTTGAGTTCATCTCATGAAAAATAGGAGCAAAAACAAAAGTGTTGCGTTTATATTTTTGTTCAGTGTAGTTCAAAGTGTGATATTATATTATTTTCAGTTTGTTATACGTCTTTTTAGAGGTGTAATCATATTTTGAGTGTGGTATTAGTACTTGTTTAATGTGTTATTAGTGTTTTTAGCAGTGTATTCGTACTTCTTTAGTGTTATATTAGTCATTTTTAGTGTGGTAATATAGTTTAAAGTGTGATTAGAATTAGTATTATATTATTTTCAGTGTGGTATTAGTACTTATTTTGTGTGGTAATATAGTTTAAAGTGTGATATTATATTATTTTCAGTCTGGTATGAATACTTATCATATGCTTACATTGTGTTAGTTGTGGTATTTGTGATTTAAGTGTTGTCTACATACTTTAGGTGTGGTATTAGTATTTGTTTGTGTGTTAATATAATTTAAAATGTGATATTATAGTATTTTCAGTGAGTTATTAGTATTTTCAGTGAGTTATTAGTATTTTCAGTGAGTTATTAGTACTTCTTTAATGAGTTATTAGTATTTTGATTGTGGTAATAGTACTTGTTTAGTGTGGTATTAGTATTTTTCAGTGTGGTAATAGTACTTGTTTAGTGTGGTATTAGTATTGTTGATGTGGTAATAGTACTTGTTTAGTGAGTTATTAGTATTGTCAGCGTGGTAATAGTACTTGTTTAGTGAGTTATTAGTATTGTTGATGTGGTAATAGTACTTGTTTAGTGTGGTATTAGTATTGTTGATGTGGTAATAGTACTTGTTTAGTGTGGTATTAGTATTGTTGATGTGGTATGAGTACGTTTTCTAGTGTGATATTGTGTGTTCAGTGTCATATTAGTCCTATGTGTTGTGGCTTCAGCTTCCACATTGTGCTGGTTGTAGTATTAGTTTGAACAGTGTGGTTTCAGCTTCCACATTGTGCTGGTTGTAGTATTAGTTTGAACAGTGTGGCTTCAGCTTCCACATTGTGCTGGTTGTAGTATTAGTTTGAACAGTGTGGCTTCAGCTTCCACATTGTGCTGGTTGTAGTATTAGTTTGAACAGTGTGGCTTCAGCTTCCACATTGTGCTGGTCGTGGTATTAGTTTGAACAGTGTGGTTTCAGCTTCCACATTGTGCTGGTTGTAGTATTAGTTTGAACAGTGTGGCTTCAGCTTCCACATTGTGCTGGTTGTAGTATTAGTTTGAACAGTGTGGCTTCAGCTTCCACATTGTGCTGGTTGTAGTTTTAGTTTGAACAGTGTGGCTTCAGCTTCCACATTGTGCTGGTTGTAGTATTAGTTTGAACAGTGTGGCTTCAGCTTCCACATTGTGCTGGTCGTGGTTTTAGTGATTTAAGTATTTGATTCATTCTATTTCAGACTGTTAGAAGTGTTTTTATGAGTATCTTGAAAGTAGGATTATTATTAAAGTGTGGTATTAGTGTTTACAGTTAGATTATATATTTACAGTGTGTTAGTTAGTATTTACAGTGTGGTATTAGTACTTCTTCAGTGTGTTAGTTAGTATTTACAGTGTGGTATTAGTATTTACAGTGTGGTATTAGTATTTACAGTGTGGTATTAGTACTTCTTCAGTGTGTTAGTCAGGGGCGGCGCCAGGGGGTATCTTGGAGTTGCTGTAGCAACTCCAACAATTGGCATAGCAACGGCTTAGCAACCCCATTGTTTTGCACTCAGATATATTGCTGCTTACAGATTTCCTGTGTTCCAGCTTAAAGCCTTCTCCTCGCATTCAGGCTGTTTCTGTGCGCTGGTGAAATGTCTGCTCTCAGATTTCTTCTGTGCGCGCTCGGATCTTTTGTGCAACAACCCTCAAAATCCCTCAACCAATAGGAAGCCAGGTGTCCTTGCGGGTGCGTTCGCTTTACTTATTAGAGCGTCCCGTAAGGGCGGTTACTCTTTGGTTTATAAACTCCCGCCCTCCACGGCTTTATAACATAACATAACATGTACTTCACTTGTTTGATTTACAACTTTTGGGGGGGGAAAGCACAGTTAGTATATATATACCAGCACCTTACATAATAGCTACGTTCAGTGGCGCACTGGGACTAAAAACGTGTACATTTGTAAAGTTATTTAGGCAATGTTGTTGGTGGGAGTAGAGACCGCCCCTTCCAGGTGTGTGCGTTTCCGGTGTGAGTGTGGAGGGAGTACGAGACGGTAGGAGTTGTGTTCGAGTGTGGGGGAAAGTCATAATGCGTGTTATACTATTGATTGGTTCTGTAAGGCGTGGCTGTGGCCGTCAATACCAGAAAATAAAGAGAACGTTTTCGACATTGAAGGCTCGAGATCTGTGATCTTGAATAGCGGTGAACGAACGCTACAATATGAACAGGCTCGTGCTTGGCCCACTGGTATTGTTTGTTTATTTATTTTGAAAAGTAACTAGCAACGCCGTGCTGTCATATAGCAACTGCTAAGCTACTGCAGCTAACAAATCCTGGCGCCGCCCATGCTGTTAGTTAGTATTTACAGTGTGGTATTAGTACTTTGTATTGTGTTAATATAGTTTCAAGTGTTATTAGTATTATATTATTTTCATTGTGGTATTAGTACTTCTTTAGTGTGGTATTAGTATTTTTCAGTATGGTATTAGTATTTATTTAGTGTGGTATTAGTACTTCTTTAGTGTGGTATTAGTACTTCTTTAGTGTGGTATTAGTACTTCTTTAGTGTGGTATTAGTATTTTTCAGTATGGTATTAGTACTTCTTTAGTGTGGTATTAGTATTTGTCAGTGTGATTTTCGTGTTTTTAGAGGTGTATTAGTACTTCTTTAGTGTTGTATTACTCATTTTTAGTGTGTTAATATAGTTGTGATATATTATTTTCAGTGTGGTATGAGTACTTCAGGTGTAGTATTAGTATCACAGAGTACTCTCAGTATCCCCCTCACCTGCAGGGCGGCCATGTCTCCTCCCAGGTCGGGGTTCGGAGCGTTCTCAGACATGTACGCCTCCTTGGCGGCGATGAGCTCCTTGTTCTCCTCCTCGATCCAGCCGGCGGCGATCTGAAGGATCAAACTCTGGAACACGACGTTAGAGAGGCGGAAACTAAGTGTCTATTCAAGGGTTCAAGGCTTGTATTGTCATGTGTGCATTAAGTGTAGATGTGTCAATGAAATCTGAGGTCTCGCTCCTCCAATAGAGCAACACAATGATATACTATATATACAGTAATTGTAATATTGATATATATGAGTTGCAAACAGATGAATGTTATGGATGTTCTTTCAAAAGTGCAGGTGTTTATTCTCACCTTCAGATGATGCCTGCGGCTGGACGTCATTTTCTTTACACTGTGGGACGGAGGTTCGTGAAGAATAAATATATATATTAACTATCTTTTACACTATGCCATGATGTCTGCCTCATATTGGGTAAGAAAACATAAGGAAAAAGTGCAAGAATTATCCATTTTAGCATATTTTTAACAAAGTAAATAAGTTAAAAATCACATATTAGCGGACTGAGATTAATTTGATTTATTTATCTATATATTCGTTTCTGAAAAAAAGCATAATAGACTCATATAATTGACATTTTCTTTAAATATTAAACCTTTTTAAAGGTATTGTTGGTCATTTTGAAAGGTGGACTAATAAGGACTGGAAACAGCTCGCTGAATATGGAATGAAAACCACAACTTTCCCTTTAAAATGTAAAATCCTTCACCATTATAGCAAAAACTAAATACACAATTTAATTCGTTAAAATTGTGTTTTAGTGTAAAAAACAAACAGAATTTAACAATAATTCTAGAAATCAAACTGCAAACACTTGTAAGTTTTGTATTAACATGACAATAAAATGCTTCTTTAAATACCCGAGAGAATAAATATTAATTATAGCCGCGGCTCAGACAGCTGCTGTCATCTGAAGCTGCCGGCTGACCTTCAGCTCACACATGTGTTCACTTCACTTTAACATGTGAAGACATGTCTCTGACACGCGGAGACATCTAATAAACTATCAGAGTCCCAAAGAAGCAGCTCAACATTTACACTCTAGTTTTAAAAATGCAGAAATCTACGAGGATCTTTACGGAAACGTTTTCAATGGTGTTGAGATGATGTTCGAGGCCGCTGGAGTTGTTGTCACTTCTAGGCGCTTTTGGACTAAATATGTCAGTCAATTTGATATGATGAAGGCATCGAGACAACGCTGACTAACTAAGCTACTGACATCATATCTAAAAGGTTGTGAAAAGAGCGATTATTGGGGGATTTAGAGCAAATTTAAGCTATTTTTTCCCCAGCAGATTTGAAACCGCCTCTCCACTGTAAGAAGGGATGATGTCACACATTCTGAACATTCCGTCCCGGACACGCCCACTATACAAATTAGAACATGTCACCACATTTAAACTGGGATTTGATGGAATACCGTTCCATCTATCAAAAAACCCTTTTAGTCCAACACAGTGGAGAGTCTGGAGAGCAGTTTAAACTTGTAATCTCTTTTCTACGTGAAAGTATGCTTAATCAGTATGACCTCAAAGTTGGATGATTTTGAGCTCTGATCAGGCGTTTCCCATTCATTCCTATGGGGAGAAGTTTGCAGTTGTTCTCAAACCACAGGACACGACTGCCGATCATTACGTTTTGATGATTGATGATATTTGGAGAAACACTGAATTGTACACCTTTACAGTTTGTGATGATAATCCTATAACTAGAGACCGCGCGCTGTAACACAATCTGACTGTGTTTGAATCCAAGACATACTGAGAGATTAACAGGAATTCAATCAAATTAATTAAGAGTTTATTATTATTATAATTATTATTATTATTACAATCATTATATTTCACTTATACTTATAACTTACTTATTTATTTTCTATTGTATTTGTTAGACTTTTTTTTATCCTTTTTTTATAAATATATTCCTATTACTGTATAATTTTACTCTCTATTTTATAACTTTAAATCAGGTTTTTGAGTCTACCTACATGTGTTTGCAACATTCTTTAATCAATAAAACTGTCTTGCCTTAAATCAATTCATTAAATGGCAGTAAATGAATAAAAAACCCAAATAAAATGCTGTAAAGTCAGTTTTAAAGCAACAAGCAATGTGTCCAAAGTAAATCCAATCAACATCAGACGTTAATTAAACGTCCCTAATTGAAGGCAGGTTGAATACCCATCGTTGTACTCACTCAGACATGTTGGCTGCTTGTGCTCTTCACGCCCTGTTCGGAGACAGAAAACAGTTAAATATGAGCAGACAGGTCACATGTCGCTCCGTGTTATCAATCAGCGACCTTTGAACCTGAAACACGACCTGCGTCCCGATCTCGGAGAAACCGGCTAATTTTAAACGCGCTCTTTACTCCAAGCCTCTGAAAAACATTCCTGACAGGAATTCTAAGTTCTTCCTCTACTCCAGAAATGTGGCGCCGATCACGAGGAGCGAGTCGTGAATCATTCCAAACATCCTGAAGGCACGCGGCGTCGAGGTGTGACCAGGAAACATTCAGAGGATCAGAAATCATAAAAAGGACAAATAAACGATAACGCCGAGGCTTTGAGGGCTGAAGAAAGAGCCGTGATGAAGCCTAACAGCGTCCAGAGTTTGGAGCATTAGAACATAAGAAACTCAACTTTAAATCATTAAGAGGAGCTTTTTCTTCAGATGAAATCTCTGTTTTACAATATCAAACTTGAGTCACAGCAACACAAACAACTACCTGCCAAATCCTTATTAAACATCTCATTCATTTAACGCTTTATAGCAAAAATCCACCTGATTTTAATGCAGTTTTTCAAGAATGTCTCCAGGAGAGAGTTAACTCATTTGTTCAATTAGTGCATATCCAATTAGGAATTTCAAAATAAAAGCCTCGTGTGCGTGCAGACACATGCAAGCTTTCCACAGACAAGCAAAGAAATCAACAGAAGAGTTTCAGATTATATATAAATCTATATTTTTGTAGTTTTAAATGAAACTTTTCCTCGAATTAATTACATTTTCACACAATAACTTTGAGCAAAGATATTCAACATCAAACCCCTTAAAAGTACCCTTGATTTATTTAAGTTAAGGGTATTTAAACCATTGAAATAAATCATATAAGCAGCATCACAGGGAGCTGATACATCTCAGATATCCAGACTTTAACCGTAAATCTCCCGTTAAATCCACAAAACATGCCGTCACGCCTAAAACACCTTAAATCCCACCTGCTGGAGTTATAAAGTAGTCTGAAAATACTTTGATAAGTGGAAAATTGTTAAAAAATACACTGATAAGTAAAAAAGTAGTTAAAAAATACTTTGTTAAGTCAATAAGTAGTCTAAAAATACTTTGTTAAGTGGAACATTAGTCTGAAAATACTTTGTTAAGTGGAAAATGTGTCTGAAAATACTTTGTTAAGTGGAAAAGTAGTCTAAAAAAACTTTGTTAAGTGGAAAATGAGTCTGAAAATACTTTGTTAAGTGGAAAAGTAGTCTAAAAAAACTTTGATAAGTATAGTATTAGTTATTAAAAGATACTTTGTTACCGTGACTTTAAAAGCTCTGAAATAGTTATTTTTGAATTGACTCAAAGAAAAGATTAAAAAAAAATCTTGTTTAGTTTTCCAATATCTTAAAAAACAAACTGGTATAAAATACCTACTGACGAGGAGGAGGAAGACGAAGAGGTGACAGGTCCCGAACAGTACCGATTATCGGGGTATATAGGGTGTGAAGCGCTGACTCAGCAGAAAGGAGACCCTCTTTATGGTAACGGAGCACCTGAGGACCAATCAATGAAGAGCCTGGAAAGCTCCCAGACTCCCCAGGAAACTCTTAAATGTGTCTCCTCCCTAATTCCACCTACAGTATAGGACGGAACGGGACGGGACGGGGGGGCAATTGTTACCAGGGGGGGCGGGGCTTATATACTTTACTGGAGGATATGTAGTATAGGTCTGGAACAGCTCCATTACAGGTAGTTAGAAAGCATTACAGCAGGGGTGTCAAACTCAATTTCATCGCGGGCTACATTATCATTATGGTTGCACTCAAAGGGCCGGTTGTAACTTTTAAGACTATATAAATATACAAATATATAAATATATTATATAAAATAATGTATTATATTACATTATTGCCTCTGAATTGGATTATTATCGGATAGGATAATAACTTAGTAATGAACTACGTCTGAAAGCAGAAGTCCAGGGCAAATAATTGCAAGTCTCTTCAGTGCACATGGCACAAAACGAGATGCATTGTGGGACATGTAGTTTATGGGCAACGTGCTTCTGTAAATCGGCATGTAACCGTATAATAAACGTATTTTCTTTGCAAGCTCTTGCGGGGCCACAGAAAAATAAGTCTCGGGCCTTGAGTTTGACACCCCTGCTTTAAAGCAAAAAACTGGACGTGATTTTTTAAAAACTAGATGCTTTCGTCTCAAAACGCTGAAACCAGAAACAGCTCCAACATTACATTTTCTAACTTTTCTAACAGCAAGCACACTTTAATAATTCAACTGGAGACGCAAGCATGTTTTCAATTTATAAGATCCCACATTTCTCCGTGCAGGATTTTGCTAAATTGCTCAAATAAACTCCCATATTTCCATTTGATGGATTAGTGCAGCTCCAGGTAATATAATCAGGAGGGACACAAACAGATTTAAAACACCAAACTTCATGCAGAATCACATCAAAGTGCAGCGAGACGAGGAGGAGTGACTCACCGACTGTCGAGCTTCTTCTTTGAGAGGTAGAAGAGGGATTTGGATGAAAATATTTGCCATTTATTTAAGGGGTTAAGTAGAGATGATGTGCGGAAAGGAGGCTCTCTGCTGACCTCTGCTGCTCCAACACCAACACAACACTTTCTAATTCTGGGCCAAAATGTATATTTACCGTTTAAATGAAAGATAAAGGGGCTCAGAAACAGCTTCTTTCTACGTGAGACTTCAAGCACCAAAAGCTGTTCTAAATCCTCCTTAAAGAAACCCCCAACTAGCTCCCAATAAACTGCAGTGTGACAGCATTGCCTTCTTCCAAACATAATTTAATGGCACAGGTTAGTTTTTGCATGGAAAAGCTGAAGTGTAACAAAGATTAGCACAGGAAGTGAAAGTCTTTAGGCGGTCTCAAACATCTTCTTCCTGTCGGCCTTATCCTCGATGTTCTTACGCCAGTCGCCCCGCCGCCTCTGCAGGCTGCAAGAAACAACACAAAAATAATGTCATTGTTAGCTAATGAATGTTTCCATGCTGAACAACAGCAACGTTTCCATTGATCCCTCTTCTTTAGAGAAGACCAGGAAATGATGGATACACGGATCGTGTTCAAATCAATAGGCACGCAATGACTCTAAAGAATAATGATCACGCATCAAACACACATTCAGACTAAAGGAACCAGCTGTTTGGAAAATGAGAGAAGTAGAAAGTACAAGTATTTGAGTTCAACATGTAAGAAGTAGAAAGTACAGGTATTTGAGTTCAACATGTAAGAAGTAGAAAGTACAGGTATTTGTGTTCAACATGTAAGAAGTAGAAAGTACAGGTATTTGTGTTCAACATGTAAGAAGTAGAAAGTACAGGTATTTGAGTTCAACATGTAAGAAGTAGAAAGTACAGGTATTTGTGTTCAACATGTAAGAAGTCAAAGTAAAAAGTTGTCAGAAAAATAAGTAGTGGAATAAAGTACTGATACCAGAAACATGTACTTAGGTACAGTAACAAAGTATTTGTACAACACTACTTCCCACCTCTGCATATACAGCGCCGGGGAATATTCTGCATATCTAAGTGGTTTAATTTGATTTATTTGGACATGTATCCACATTTTAAATGAAAACGCAGTGTTTCCTCAAATAGTGCAAATACAACATTTAATTTATGAAACTGCAACTACTTTGCACACTTGTATAATGTAGATACATCCCCTTTATATTTTAGGGTTTGTAGGATGTTTATAGTGTATTCCTGCTTATTCTGTATATTTACCCATTTTGAGAAAAAGTCAGAATTTTGAGTTTTTGAGAAAAATACCAACAAATTCTCTTTTTTAGTTTTGACTACTTCCATTCTTGAGAGGATAATAAATACATGGATCCTGATATTCAAGCTCAAGCCGGTGATGAGTGAGAGTTTTCTAACCATGTACAAAATGTATTTTCTTTGTGCCATGTTTTTATAATACTGTTTGAGTCCTCACCTCCTCTTTGACCTCCTTCTTGACCTGCTTCAGGTTGGACCTCAGATCCATGGTCACCTTGTGTTTTCCTCCCAGCAGAGCCTGCAGCATGGAGTCAGCGGACATACGGACCTTCTTCAGAGCGGGCTTCTTCACGCCGGCCAACTCCACCACCTTCATCTTCAGATCCTCAATCTGCACAAACACAAAGGAGACGGTTTCTGTTAGCGCTGCAGATCAGGAAGTAGACACCAAACTCCCTGATTCTGAGGGGCTTTCCCATCTCTGCAGCTTGTATTTAACTGCACTTTATTTCATGAGCAAAGTGTATTTATATAGCACCTTTCAACACAAGGCAATTCAAAGTGCTTTACAAAAATGAAAGACATGGCAAAAATGGCAGTCGTCCACCAATCTGATGGTTCCAGTTGTACTGGGAAGTGGAAATATCCAAGTTCCCAGTAAGAAACTTCAACTGTAACGCCTCCTAAGGTCAGACTTCCTACTTGGAAACTTGCCGATACCTCGCCATTACTGAGATAATCATTCAAAATGGAGTCTCCGCATATAAACATAAAGAAAACACTCTGATAATAAAACGTAGTTATCATCCTGCTAACAATGGCTAACCTGAAGTGCTAAAGCTGTAAATTGTACTTGGAAGTGGGAAAATATGAGTTCTCAGTAAGTAACTTCAACTGCAACGCCTCCTTAGGTCGGACTTCCTACTTGGAAACTCAGAGAAACGTTGACATACCTGAGATCAACATTCAAAATGGAGTCTCAGCATATAAACATTAAGAGAACACTTTGAGAAGATAACATGTTTAGCTCTTCTATATTATTTGTGTCACATTAAATAAACTGTTCATGTGATTCTGCTGATATATCTGTGGATATGTTGCTCAATGTTTCTATTTACAAAATACAATATAACTCATATATATACAACAGACTCCAGCGTGTCCAGAACGCAGCCGCCAGACTCCTCACCCACACCAAATCATGGCATCACATCACCCCGGTCCTCAAAGAACTCCACTGGATCCCCGTTTCACACCGCATCCACTACAAACTCCTGGTCCTCACTTTCAAAGCCCTCCACCATCTGCCCCCCCCCCCTACCTCACTGACCTCCTCATCCTCTACCAACCACCCCGGTCCCTCAGATCCACCTCAGCCGGTTTGCTTTCCATCCCCAAGGCCAAACTCCGGAGCTTCGGGGACAGAGCCTTCTCTGTGGCAGCCCCGAAGCTCTGGAACTCCCTCCCCCAAGACCTCCGTGAGTCTGAGTCCCTCACCCTGTTCCAGTCCTGCCTCAAAACCCACCTCTTCAACTCTGTATCCATAACCCCCCCCCCCCTCTCAATCAACTTCCTCCTGACTGCTTTTCTGTTTTGTTTTGTTTCTTTTTGGCTTTGTTTTTGTTTTGTTTGTCTACCCTCCCTCCCAAATGTAAAGCGTCGTTGGGTTCAAGAAAAGCGCTATAGAAATAAAATATATTATTATTATTATAAAGCGTAGTTATCAACCTGCTAACAATGGCTAACCCGAGGTGATGCTAAAGCTGTAAACAAGATAAAAATCTTTCCTGCGGACGTCCATCTTTGTCCGACTTGAACTACGTGCAAATTGACTGCGTTCCAGTAGCACAAGTCGGACAAAGATGGACGCCCGCGGGAACTTTTTTCGCCTTGTTTACAGCTTTAGCATCACCTCGGGTTAGCCATTGTTAGCAGTTTGATAACTACGCTTTATTTAGTGTTCCGTGAAAACAAATATCGTAGCAACATATCCACAGATAGAAGATGAGCAGAACTATATGTAGAGTTGATTTAAATGTGACAGAAATAATACAGAAGAGCCAAAAATGTTAAGTTATCGGACTGTTTTCTTAATGTTCACATTCAAAACGGAGTCTACACTCCACTATTGGATGTTTGCGAGGAACTATTTATACAAGGTTTCAAAGTTAGTTTCATTCGTCGAGGGTTGAATAACTTCCTGTTGGATGTATATTAACTTCCTGTTGGAGGGTTTAATAACTTCCTGTTGGATGGTATATTAACTTCCTGTTGGATGGTTTAATAACTTCCTGTTGGATGGTATATTAACTTCCTGTTGGATGGTTTAATAACTTCCTGTTGGAGGGTGTAATAACTTCCTGTTGGATGGTTTAATAATTTCCTGTTGGATGGTTTAATAACTTCCTGTTGGATGGTATATTAACTTCCTGTTGGATGGTTTAATAACTTCCTGTTGGAGGGTGTAATAACTTCCTGTTGGATGGTTTAATAATTTCCTGTTGGATGGTTTAATAACTTCCTGTTGGATGGTATATTAACTTCCAGTTGGATGGTATATTAACTTCCTGTTGGATGGTTTAATAACTTCCTGTTGGAGGGTGTAATAACTTCCTGTTGGATGGTATATTAATTTCCTGTTGGATGGTTTAATAACTTCCTGTTGGATGGTATATTAACTTCCAGTTGGATGGTTTAATAACTTCCTGTTGGAGGTATATTAAGTTCCTGTTGGATGGTTTCATAACTTCCTGTTGGAGGGTGTAATAACTTCCTATTGGATGGTTTAATAACTTCCTGTTGGATGGTTTAATAATTTCCTGTTGGATGGTATATTAACTTCCTGTTGGATGGTTTAATAACTTCCTGTTGGAGGGTTTAATAACTTCCTGTTGGAGGTATATTAACTTCCAGTTGGATGGTTTAATAACTTCCTGTTGGAGGGTTTAATAACTTCCTGTTGGAGGTATATTAACTTCCTGTTGGAGGGTTTAATAACTTCCTGTTGGAGGTATATTAAGTTCCTGTTGGATGGTTTAATAACTTCCTGTTGGATGGTTTGATAACTTCCTGTTGGATGGTATATTAACTTCCAGTTGGATGGTTTAATAACTTCATGTTGGAGGGTTTAATAACTTCCTGTTGGAGGTATATTACGTTCCTGTTGGAGGGTGTAATAACTTCCTATTGGATGGTTTAATAACTTCCTGTTGGATGGTATATTAACTTCATGTTGGATGGTTTAATAACTTCCTGTTGGATGGTATATTAACTTCCTGTTGGATGGTATATTAACTTCCTGTTGGATGGTTTAATAACTTCTTGTTGGATGGTATATTAACTTCCTGTTGGATGGTTTAATAACTTCCAGTTGGGTGGTTTACTAACTTCCTGTTGGATGGTATATTAACTTCATGTTGGATGGTTTAATAACTTCCTGTTGGATGGTATATTAACTTCCTGTTGGATGGTTTAATAACTTCCTGTTGGATGGTTTAATAACTTCCTGTTGGATGGTATATTAACTTCCTGTTGGATGGTTTAATAACTTCCTATTGGATGGTATATTAACTTCCTGTTGGATGGTTTAATAACTTCCTGTTGGATGGTATACTACATGTCAATTCCTGTTGGATGGTTTAATAACTTCCTGTTGGATGGTTTAATAACTTCCAGTTGGATGGTATATTAACTTCCTGTTGGATGGTATATTAACTTCCTGTTGGATGGTTTAATAACTTCCTATTGGATGATATATTAACTTCCTGTTGGATGGTTTAATAACTTCCAGTTGGATGATATATTAACTTCCTGTTGGATGGTTTAATAACTTCCAGTTTGATGGTATATTAACTTCCTGTTGGATGGTTTAATAACTTCCTATTGGATGGTATATTAACTTCCTGTTGGATGGGTTAATAACTTCCAGTTGGAGGGTTTAATTAAGTCTTATTGGAGGTATATTGACTTCCTTTATAGGGTTTAAGGATGGTTTAATAACTTCCTGTTGGATGGTTTAATAACTTCCTGTTGGATGGTTTAATAACTTCCTGTTGGAGGTATATTGACTTCCTTTATAGGGTTTAAGGATGGTTTAATAACTTCCTGTTGGATGGTTTAATAACTTCCTGTTGGAGGTATATTGACTTCCTTTATAGGGTTTGATGATGGTTTAATAACTTCCTGTTGGAGGGTTTAATAACTTCCTGTTGGAGGTATATTGACTTCCTTTATAGGGTTTAAGGATGGTTTAATAACTTCCTGTTGGATGGTTTAATAACTTCCTGTTGGAGGTATATTGATTTCCTTTATAGGGTTTGATGATGTTTTAATAACTTCCTGTTGGATGGTTTGATAACTTCCTGTTGGATGGTTGAATAACTTCCTTATAGGGTTTACTAACATCCTGTTGGAAGGTTAAGGATGGTTTAATAACTTCCTTTTGGTACTTCATATCCCCTTATAACCTAAGCAGGATTTCATTTAGAAACCTAAATGTTCAGAGTGATATTGAAGCCTTTACCTCTTTGTCGCTCTTTGTCACTTTGGACTCGGAGTCGTATCTTTCTTCATCGATCTTGTCCAATAAGTGGTGTATCTTTTTGCAGATTTCCTGTAATAAAAGAGAACAAAATTAACTCTTCGTAACTTCAGGATTCAAAGATTTCAAGACGTTGTTGGCATATGCACAAAAGCTACAGCCTAGTTTTACAATTTCCTGACATAGACAAAACCATTATATCTTAAGGTATTATTTTCTGCACAAATGCCAGAAAATCTAGTGTTTAGCCTCTGAAATGTTATGAAGATTGGATCATAGTGAATGCTTAGATGATGCCAGACATGACCTCAGACTTTGAGAGACTTGAATAGACATTTTAGGCTTTTTATAGCGCAAACCACTAATTATTGAATCAATTTTTCATGTAAAATGACTTTAAATACTGGTTTCACTCTCTAAACATAGGCATTTTCTGCTTTTCTCTGAACTATTTTGTTGTTCTACTACGTTGTGACATAACACAGACCAAAGGATTATTAGTTATAGTAATGTTTCTTGCAAACATTTGAGAAAATGCAGTTTTCAGCCTCTCAATTAGAATCAGGTTTATCACCAAGTAGGTTGACACGTACGAGGAATTTGACTTGATGTCATGGTGCATACATAAAAGTAAAACAAAAATTAAAAACACAGATAGAAAACTATTTTAAGAAAACTATAATAACATTAAGTTGTTTCTCTTGTGAGCTCTTCCCTGGTGAAAGAGTTCGATGTTCTGTTTGTAAACACTGAATTAACGCACAAAACAAGACAAAACAGAGTGCACCGAATCACAGAGTGTCCGGGCGCCATCTTGATTGACATCAAAGTGAATATCTCTGACAATCATGTCTTTAAGAAAGTTGGATGGACATTGTTCTGTTAGTAATGACTTCTTTTAGGATAAACCACTAATTGTTAAAGTGTGTTTCTTTACCATGAGAGCCGCCTGATCTCCGCTCAGGTCGGGTTTGACACAATGTTCGCTCAGATAAGCCGCTTTAGCCGCAATTATCTCAGCGGTTTCCTCCTCCATCCACGTAGCAGCGATAGAGAGGATCAAACTCTGAGGGAGAAAAATAGTTCATACTTTATTAGAGATATTACTGCAAGATCTAGAAGATAGTGGTGGGAAGTAACTAAGTACATTTACTCAGCTTAAGTACAATTGTGAGGTACTTGTACTTTACTTAAGTATTTCTATTTGATGCTACTGTGTACTTCTACTCCACTACAGTTCGGAGCTACATGGTGTACTTTTCCTCCACTACATGTACTTAATAGTAATACCTTTAGTTACTTCACAGATCTGGATGAATGATGTGAAATATAATCAAGTGTTGAATCAGACTTTAGTTCCACCTGGAGTAAATCCACCAGCTACCCTGCAGTATACAAAGTCATTCAAACTAGCTGCACCTTTACCAGCTTTGAGAACACTTTCATGATCAATCATTATGAAACATATCATATATATTATTCTGAAATGGACCAATCTGCACAACGACAACTTTTACTATCGCTACTTTCACTATATTTTGATGAGAATACTTTTCTACTTTTACTTGAGGAACATTTTGAATGCAGGACTTTCACTGTGACAGAGTATTCCTACACTCTGGTACTTCTACTTTTACTCAAGTACAAGATCTGAGTACTTCTACTTTTACTCAAGTACAAGACCTGAGTACTTCTACTTTTACTCAAGTACAAGATCTGAGTACTTCTACTTTTACTCAAGTACAAGATCGGAGTACTTCTACTTTTACTCAAGTACAAGATCTGAGTACTTCTACTTTTACTCAAGTACAAGACCTGAGTACTTCTACTTTTACTCAAGTACAAGATCTGAGTACTTCTACTTTTACTCAAGTACAAGATCTGAGTACTTCTACTTTTACTCAAGAACAAGATCTGAGTACTTCTACTTTTACTCAAGTACAAGATCTGAGTACCTCTACTTTTACTCAAGTGCAAGATCTGAGTACTTCTACTTTAACTCAAGATCTGAGTACTTCTACTTTAACTCAAGATCTGAGTACTTCTCCCTCCTCTGCTAGTAGACTTGAACCAACATCCTATAAAAGGTTGAGTTATGTTTCTGACATATCTCTCAGCTTCATTTCCGGATGAATTCTCTCTTAAACACATATTTTTACAGTATATCATTGTAGACGCGTTGGATGAGCTTAGGGTTCTTGGCCTGAAAACACTTTCATTTGTTAAGTTTATTTCAGTTCATTTGCTCAAAACAGACTTAAAACATTTGAATATTTATCAGGAGAGGTTAAAAACCAAGGATTTATTATAAAAATATGATCACACTTAAAGAGAAAATGGATACAAATACAATAAACACCAAGATTTAATAATGTATTAAAACTTTAAAGACTATAGTGTTGCAAAGAAATATATAGAAATGTGTTATAAATCTTATAATTGCTTTTCAATTAAAACATTTTGAACAGAATTCTAGATTTTAAGACAATCTAGATAAATATCTGATTTAATTTCTAGTAAATTATAAAAAATATAAATAATAAAATCTGTTACCTTGAGATGATGCCTGCGGCTCGATGACATCTTCTTTACCCTTTAATTAATAGATAAATAAAACATCAGTTATCCAAATAAATGTCAATGTTATAAACACACACACACACACACACACACACACACACACACACACACACACACTCAGGGGACATTACATTGACTTACATGCATTTCCTGGAGACTTAACCATAACCAACACATGCCTAACCCTAACCCTTACCCTTACCCTTACCCTAATCAAATCTTCACCGTAAAATGAATGATTCCCCTCATAATGTCCCCATAAGGGAGGCGAGTCCCCACACGTGACTGTGTAGATGTAGGTCCCCACAACGATAGTAATGCTAGGATACACACACACACACATATTGTAGTTTCTGTGGAGGGAACGTCAAATACAGTGTTTGTTAAAGTTGTACTCACTCAGACATCTTGGCTTCTTTTTAGTTTCAAACTCTGTTAATAAATAGAAAAATGAAGAAAACAGTTAATGATATAAATATAAAACAAAACAGAACAGATGAGATGTTTTAACTAAATAAATCCAATACTGTAAGAACAATATGTATAACGGCCCTATTCTGCTTTTTGCTGGCGTTTCTATAGGTTTCAGTGCATGTAAATGGTCTGCAGAGGCTAAAATCCCCATGTGAGGGAGTTTATCTGAAATAAAACGTCAGTGTCAATGTCAGTGTCAAAGCCGTGGTCTGGGGCCCCTGTTTTGGTCACGTCAGCATTTATTCGAGGGGTCACGTCTAATCCTGGCTCTTGTCAAAGGTCAGCGCTGACATTTATGAGGATTTATTTATGAGCAGTAAGAGGAGTGCCAACATTCAGCGTCCGTGTAATCGTAAATAAAGAGAATTCCAGCGCCTCGCATCAAACGCCGTTCAATTTAAAACACCGGTTTGATTTCAGCTGATGCGCCGAAAGCACACAGCTGCTGTTTACTGAACTCAACCCTAACGTTTTGTTACATGCAAGAAAAAAGCAGGAAAAAGTCATTGATATATAAAAAATGAGAACATTGGTTGTGGATAAACTGACTTAATGAGCTCAACAGATGCAGAAACTCTCATAGGGTTAGACTGATTGTTGAATTAGTGCAATACATCTGACCTGCTCCTTTAAGTCCTTCTTATTCATATTTGCTGTATTATTTGTATTTATTTTTCACCCACAAAGGTTTTTTGGGGGGATACCCAAATGTTTTAAGATAAATAACCTGCAAGGCTATTTTTCCACTTTTTAATCTTTCTTAAAAACATTTTCCATTTATTAAGTGCTTTTAATCTCATTCATAAATGTGGTAATTAGAGCCTTTTTGTTAAGATGTTTAAAGGATCTTTTAAGGATTTTTTTGGAGGAGTTTTTCCATTTAATTTTGGATATTTACAAACTCATTCTGTTGTTCTTTTTTTTATTATTTATTATATCTAACCTGCAGGATTATATTCCTCTTTTAAATCCCTATTTAAAGCATTTTTTGTATATTTTCAGGACATTTTAAATAAGATAACGGTTTGATTTCGCTTTAAACTGAACAAAAAAATGAGAAAAAGTCAGAAAAAAATTCAGCTTTCTAGACTTTCATTTTTGCATATTATTATATTGTTGTCTTCTACTTTAATACTTATCTAAATGCAGAATGAGATGATTCAACGTTTTGTGGTTTTCGTTAAAAGATGCCGATTTGCAGCATCTGCCGTCATGAGCGAGAGGAGTTTCACAAATCTGCTTCTGGATCCTTCAGATGTTTCTACCTTTATTTAACAATTACATGCATGGAAAACTAGATAGATGGATGGGTAGATAGACAGACAGACAGACAGACAGACAGACAGACAGACAGACAGACAGACAGACAGACAGACAGACAGATAGATAGATGGATAGATAGATAGACAGACAGACAGACAGACAGACAGACAGACAGACAGACAGACAGACAGACAGACAGACAGACAGACAGATAGATAGATAGACAGACAGACAGATAGATAGACAGATAGATAGATAGAAAGATGGATGGATAGATAGATAGATAGATAGATAGATAGAGAGAGAGATAGAAAGATGGATGGATCGATAGATAGATAGATAGATAGATAGATAGATAGATAGAGAGAGAGATAGAAAGATGGATGGATAGATAGAGAGATAGAGAGATAGAGAGATAGATAGATAGATAGATAGAGAGAGACAGATAGAAAGATGGATGGATAGATAGATAGATAGATAGATAGATAGATAGATAGATAGATAGATGGAGAGAGGGATTGATAGATGGATAGATGGACAGATAGATGGACAGATAGATGGATAGATAGATAGATGGATTGATAGAGAGATGGATAGATAGATCTAAAAGGAGGATGTGATCTTGAGTTTGGATAATCTTGTTCAGAAATGAGAGGACGTTGACATTTAGAAAAAGCTCTGAGAATGGAGGAGTTTGAGAGAAGCTGAGTTACTGCTCTGTGATCTGATATCTACGTGACGTTCTCAAAGGTCATCAGTAATACGAGACGGGAAACAAATTAGACGAGCAGGAGACGAAAACGTTTCTGTAAATATATTGATCCTTAAAAATAAAACGACTCCTCCACAAGACGAGGTTTCACTCTGAGAGAGTCACTCAGGTTATTACAGGGAAGGGAAGGAAAGGAAAGACGATTAGAATTTAAAGGAAAAAGGAATTTCTAAAAGTGGTGAATTTAGACCGGACGCATTTTTCAAATCTGCAAAACACTCCCTTTTTTATTTTTTTCGTCGACTCTAGAGAAGATGTTCACACATGACGCCATACTGCGGTAAAATAACATTGTTCTTTTTTAAATATAAACATGTGAGCCACACTTTAGAAATGGATGGAAATACTAGTGAAAAATTCAAGAAAAATACATTTAAATTTAAAAAACATGAATTGGTGGAAAATCCTAAATTAAAGCCGAATGAATTTTCAGTTTTATCCAAAAGAAAAGTCTGTTTTTTCCAGATTATCAACGTTGTTTGTGAATTTAAGAGAAGATCTACGCTCATAACACAACTTAAAAAGAATGCACATTAATGTTCTAACAGATAAGAATTAAGTACTTTAAGTGCACAGAAATGCTCTTTGTTGTACCCTTAATACAAAGACATTTCTTAAAGACACATTTTCCCATCCCTTCACGTCATCAGAGGGATGCCGTTCTGTTGCCATCAAATGCCTAAAAACAGGATTATTTCTTATCGTATAATCAGAAAATAACCGTCACAATGAAACAACACTATAAAGCATAAAGCATTGTTGTGCATATTATTAGTTAGTATTTCCCCCAGAGCATCAAAGTGATTTCAAAGTTTCTCACCCACAGAGCGACGAGAGGCGAACAGACGTGGAGGACACAGAGGGAGTCACGGACAAAAACAAAGTGACATCTGGGGGGGTTTATATGAGCCGGACGGGGATTCGGAGGTTCCTCTTTTATGGTGTTGAGGAACTTTGGGACCAATGAGCTCCTGAAATACCGTCTTTGCCCGAGGGGTCGTAAAACTGCATCTGGGGGCTATTTCTCCTCCTGGGGGGGGGGGGAGTCAGTAAACACAGGGGCAATAATGGTGTCTGTGATCAAAGGATGCAGAAATAAATATCGTTACTGTGATTGTTTAATTACAAGTGTTTTAAATCTTATCATTAATGAGACAGATTTTTGAATGAGTGTTTGAATATTGTTTAAGGATTTTTTGGGAAGATTTTTGGAGGATATTTGGAAGATTTTAAGAAGATTTTTTGGAATACATTTTGGAAGATTTTTTAAAAACTTTTAAAGATTTTTTAAAAACTTTTGAAGATTTTTTGAAGATTTGCTGAAAAAGGTAAAAAAGAAATGTGGAAGATTTGTTGAAAAACTTGTAAAGATTTTATGAAGATTTTTTTTTAAACTTATGAAGATTTGCTGAAAAACGTAAAAAGAAAATTGGAAGATTTGCTGAAAAACCTTTAAAGAGTTTTGGAAGATTTTTTAAAGATTTTTCAGAAAACTTTTGAAGATTTCTCCTGAAATCCCTTCATCCTTTGACCGAGAGGTCGTACATCTGCATCAGGACGCTTTTCCTCCTCATGGGGGGGTCAGTAAACACGGGGGTAATAATGGTGTCGTGTGATCAAAGGATGCAGAAACATATCATTATGTGTAACTTTGATTGTTTAATTACAAAAACGACCACACAGAGTTAAGAAAGCGACTATGAAGAAGACACAAAGCGGCCAAAACAGACACACAAAGACAGAACTTTAACACAAGGGAAATAAAGTCGATAAAAAATGACAAAATACTTTCAAAAATTAGCCCAAAAACTACAAAGAGACTCAAAGCAGTCTAAGCAAGTGTCTGTTTTGCTGCTCTGTGACATGAAGTCTCCCTTTCCACCACACTTTGTGTTTACCAGCTATTTATTAAATACTTAACAGATTGAGATGTGGGGGTTTTAAATAGTGTATCTGGCTTTTTCTCAGACCTCATGGGGACAGGAAGAGGGCTGCAGAGTGAGGCAGTCAACACGGGGTAATAATGGTGTGATCAATGGAGGCAGAAAGAAACGTCATTATGTGATTGTTTAAATACTGCAATCAGTGTGTTCCTCGCTGTCCGAGGGAATCTGACCTTTTTGTCCTTAAAATCCCTCTTTAAAATGTTTTTGGTATTATTCGTTGTTTATTTTAGAACATAAAGTGTTTTAAATGTTATCATTAATGACACATTTTGCAACGTTTTTTTCGTACGTTTTTATGAAGATTGTTTAAAGATTAAGGATTTTTCATAAGTTTTTTGTAAGTTTTTTCTTAAATTTTTTAGAAGATTGTTTAAGGATTTGTTGTGGATTCTTTGAGGATTTTTAGGAAAACATTTTGGAAGATTTGCTGAAAAACTTTTAAAGATTTTTAGAATTAAAAAAAAAAAAAGTTGTGAAGGTTTTTTGTCGATTTGCTGAAAAACGTTTGGAAAAATATTTTTTAATGATTTTTCAGAAAACTTTTGAAGATTTTCCCTGAAATCCCTTCATCCTTTGACCGAGGGGTCGTACATCTGCATCCAATCTTTTTCTCCTCATGGGGGGGGTCAGTAAACATGGGGGTAATAATGGTGTCGTGTGATCAATGGAGGAAAATCTCATTTAATTTCACTGTGATTGTTTCATTACTGCATTTGAGTTTTCTGTTCGGGCCTCTGGAGAAAATCTGACCTGCAAGCTCCTTTTTCTCCTTAAAATCCACCTTCAAATTGTTGTTGGTATTATTCCTTGTTTATTTTAGAGCACAAAATGTTTTAAACATATTTTTGAATATTTTTGGAGATTTTTTGAAGATATAAATATGAAGTTTTGTTAATGTTGGACAACAGTTATGCAGTTTATCATCAAATATACTGTAGGTATATTCTTGTCAAAGGAAATCTTTAAAGACAACTCACGTGCTGCAGCTTCAGATCCAGACTCAGAAACTGAAACAAAATAAATACAATTATATAAATAAATGCAGTTTGTGAGTAAGAGACGTTTATTTACAAAAATAAAAAACAAAGTATCTCACCTTCTGCTTGAATGAGCCGAGCAGGAAATATGTGATCAGTGGAGGAATAACTTCATTCATTTTCGACTGTCAAAAATATACGGCCCACAAAATGTTACTCAAAGAAACTCAAAACAACGAGGAAGTTCCTCAGAGAGACTAAAAAAGAAAAAAGCGCTCATAGACACAGAATGACCACAAAACGCTCATAGACACAGAATGACCACAAAGCGCTCATAGACACAGAATGACCACAAAGCGCTCATAGAGACACAGAATGACCACAAAACGCTCATAGACACAGAATGACCACAAAGCGCTCATAGACACAGAATGACCACAAAGCGCTCATAGAGACACAGAATGACCACAAAACGCTCATAGACACAGAATGACCACAAAACGCTCATAGACACAGAATGACCACAAAGCGCTCATATAGACACAGAATGACCACAAAGCGCTCATAGACACAGAATGACCACAAAGCGCTCATAGAGACACAGAATGACCACAAAGCGCTCATAGACACAGAATGACCACAAAGCGCTCATAGACACAGAATGACCACAAAGCGCTCATAGACACAGAATGACCACAAAGCGCTCATAGACACAGAATGACCACAAAGCGCTCATAGACACAGAATGACCACAAAGCGCTCATAGAGACACAGAATGACCACAAAGCGCTCATAGACACAGAATGACCACAAAACGCTCATAGAGACACAGAATGACCACAAAGCGCTCATAGACACAGAATGACCACAAAGCGCTCATAGACACAGAATGACCACAAAACGCTCATATAGAGACAGAATGACCACAAAACGATGTAAAACGACCACAACGTGACAAAAAAGAAGCAAAACAGTCACAAAAAGACACAGAGAGTAATGCAAAAAATACAAGAGTTATACAAGAGAGATACAGATAAAACAACTACAAAGAGACACATAGCAATTACAGAGACACAAAACGGCCACAAATGGGACACAAAGAGACACAACATTAGTACAAAGAGACCGTAAGCGACAAAAAGTGACGAAACAGAAACAAGTTACAAAAATATGCAAAACAACCCAAAAAAAAGACCAAAAAAAGAGACACAAAATGACCACAAAGAGTTAAAAGATGTACGATGAAAAGACACAAAGAGACAGAACATTAACACAAGGGAGATAAAGTCAATAAGAAAAGACAAAATACTTTAAGAAAATTGGCAAAATAACTACAGAGACTCTATAAAGTCTTCCTTTACAGCACACATGTTGTTGTATTTATCTGCTATTTATTAAATACTTGACAGATTGAGGTTAAGTATTTTCTTTTAAATAAATAGTTTGAGTATTTCTGTGCATCATTAACATGAAACAGTCCTCTGCTGACACCGTGTGGTCGGTACTGGTCATAACACCTTGAATCTGCACCTGAAGCATCGAGTGGAGCTGCAGGTCAGAGACAGGTGTAATAAAGCATCGAGTGGAGCTGCAGGTCAGAGACAGGTGTAATAAAGCATCGAGTGGAGCTGCAGGTCAGAGACAGGTGTAATAAAGCATCGAGTGGAGCTGCAGGTCAGAGACAGGTGTAATAAAGCATCGAGTGGAGCTGCAGGTCAGAGACAGGTGTAATAAAGCATCGAGTGGAGCTGCAGGTAAGAGACAGGTGTAATAAAGCATCGAGTGGAGCTGCAGGTCAGAGACAGGTGTAATAAAGCATCGAGTGGAGCTGCAGGTAAGAGACAGGTGTAATAAAGCATCGAGTGGAGCTGCAGGTAAGAGACAGGTGTAATAAAGCATCGAGTGGAGCTGCAGGTCAGAGACAGGTGTAATAAAGCATCGAGTGGAGCTGCAGGTCAGAGACAGGTGTAATAAAGCATTGAGTGGAGCTGCAGGTCAGAGACAGGTGTAATAAAGCATCGAGTGGAGCTGCAGGTCAGAGACAGGTGTAATAAAGCATCGAGTGGAGCTGCAGGTCAGAGACAGGTGTAATAAAGCATCGAGTGGAGCTGCAGGTCAGAGACCGGTGTAATAAAGCATCGAGTGGAGCTGCAGGTAAGAGACAGGTGTAATAAAGCATCGAGTGGAGCTGCAGGTCAGAGACAGGTGTAATAAAGCATCGAGTGGAGCTGCAGGTCAGAGACCGGTGTAATAAAGCATCGAGTGGAGCTGCAGGTAAGAGACAGGTGTAATAAAGCATCGAGTGGAGCTGCAGGTCAGAGACAGGTGTAATAAAGCATCGAGTGGAGCTGCAGGTCAGAGACAGGTGTAATAAAGCATCGAGTGGAGCTGCAGGTAAGAGACAGGTGTAATAAAGCATCGAGTGGAGCTGCAGGTAAGAGACAGGTGTAATAAAGCATCGAGTGGAGCTGCAGGTAAGAGACAGGTGTAATAAAGCATCGAGTGGAGCTGCAGGTAAGAGACAGGTGTAATAAAGCATAGAGTGGAGCTGCAGGTCAGAGACAGGTGTAATAAAGCATCGAGTGGAGGTGCAGGTCAGAGACAGGTGTAATAAAGCATCGAGTGGAGCTGCAGGTCAGAGACAGGTGTAATAAAGCATCGAGTGGAGCTGCAGGTCAGAGACCGGTGTGATGATAGTTTCATACGAGACGTTACGACTGAAGTATTGGAGCTCAAACTAACTACTGTCTTCTTCCAATGAATTCAAGTGGTAGAAAAACAACCAATTACATCTTTGCACGTTGCTAAATAATTCTAAGTGAGGAGATTAAAGTTGCACAAATAGAAATGTCACTCAATGTCAAACTTACCAACCAAAAAGAGACACAAAATGATAACAAGACAAAAAAGACAACAACAAACAAAAGACACAAAAAAAGAAACACAAAATAAACAAAAGACACAAAATTACAAAGAAAAGACACAAAATGACTAAAAAGAAACACAAACAACTACAAAAAGGCACAAAATGACTAGCAAAGTTAACAAAATTAGTAAAAAGAGAAACAAAACAAACAAAAGACACAAAAGTTAAGTTTAGAACATTTTATCATATATATATATATAGGTTTTTGTTGGGTCTTGTTTCTCCATTATGGAAGCCCTGCTTATATATTTTCTATGTCGGGTTAAAACAAAATCTCTAATATTTGTCATTCTGTGAAACTGGTGGGATTGATGTCTAAGTCTAACCCTAAATCTAAACCCTAACCGCTAACCCCTAACCATGTCCAACCCTAAATCTAAACCCTAACCCCTAACCGCTAACCCTAACCGCTAACACCAACCGCTAACCCTAACTGCTAACCCTAACACTCTAAACTCAGCAGTAAATTACCAAAAGGGTATTTTCCTAAAGTGAATTAAAAATGAAAACATTCACTTTTCACATCTCCCTGAACACATCGGAGTGGAAACATGGATATAATGTGTTTACCTCACTGACACCACTGAGAGAAACACAGCCTCGGTAAAGCTCGAACAACGGCCAATTAACAGAACAAATCTTATTATTAAACTTTGATAACAATCAGGAAAAGCTCCAGCTTAATGGGTTTTTCACTGTTTTAATTAGATTTAAGTGTGAAATTAAGGGTACATTTAATAAAGAATATTTTTTTTAAAGGGATTCATTTCTATGCTTACAGTTAATCTCTTTTCAGGCACTTTAATTAAACAAAAATAGGCATTTGTCTCGTGGGCAGTTTTGCTTTAACGTTGAACAAAAAAATAAATAAATGTAGATAAATCTGATGAAGGCGCTGTTCACTTCTATGGCAGCGCTGTTCACTTCTATGGCAGCGCTGTGCACTTCTATGGCAGCGCTGTTCACTTCTATGGCAGCGCTGTTCACTTCTATGGCAGCGCTGTTCACTTCTATGGCAGCGCTGTTCACTTCTATGGCAGCGCTGTTCACTTCTATGGCAGCGCTGTGCACTTATATGGCAGCGCTGTTCACTTCTATGGCAGCGCTGTTCACTTCTATGGCAGCGCTGTTCACTTCTATGGCAGCGCTGTGCACTTCTATGGCAGCGCTGTTCACTTCTATGGCAGCGCTGTTCACTTCTATGGCAGCGCTGTTCACTTCTATGGCAGCGCTGTTCACTTCTATGGCAGCAAAACAGAAACACTACGCAGCGGCAGGAAGTTGTCAAAAGTGAACATCAGAACAGTAAAGGAAACAGGAAGTCTACAAAATAAAAGCCCTAGTTAATCTGAGAGGGACGTTCACTTCACAATAACAGCAGACAAAAGCTGAAACTGACAGTTTTAATGAAACTTCAAAATCCAATTAAAAGTTCCATAAAAAGTCTTTAGGTGGTCTCGAACATCTTCTTCCTGTCGGCCTTATCCTCGATGTTCTTACGCCAGTCGCCCGCCGCCTCTGCAGGCTGCAAGAAACAAGACAAAAATCACCGTTAAAAAAAATAGACAAAATGGTGTCTGAAATCTGCCTAGCAACAGCGAGGACAGAGAGATGAAGAAGGGACAAGGGAACATTTTATTTTTGTGTTTTTAAATTTGGTTTTGTTTTGTCGTGTTTCTCTATTACAAAAGTATGGTGACCGACAGAGGGCAAGCGCTCTACAACGGCTCAAAAATACTTACATTAGGAGAAACAACAAAACAATTACTGTTGTTGGAAACTTACCAAAAATGTTTTATTTGAACAATGTGATCACATGACTGCTTCTGATGTTACTGCAGATCTGCTGTGAGCTAGCTAGCTCTCCCTTTGCCAACTGTTTTGGTCAACTTGAGTAAAATAGCTGCAAGTCATGTGATCACATTGTTAAAATAAAAATAAAAACATTTCAGGTAAGTTTTCAACAACAGAGTCAGCTTTATAATCCTGAACGTCACCAAGCTGTATGCGTCACTCTTTAATGTCCCCTGGTCTCCCAGCTGTATGCATCACTCTTTAGTGTCCCCTGGTCTCCCAGCTGTATGCGTCACTCTTTAGTGTCCCCTGGTCTCCCAGCTGTATGCGTCACTCTTTAGTGTCCCCTGGTCTCCCAGCTGTATGCGTCACTCTTTAGTGTCCCCTGGTCTCCCAGCTGTGTGCGTCACTCTTTAGTGTCCCCTGGTCTCCCAGCTGTGTGCGTCACTCTTTAGTGTCCCCTGGTCTCCCAGCTATGCACGTCACTCTTTAGTGTCTCCCGGTCTCCCAGCTGTGTGCGTCACTCTTTAGTGTCCCCTGGTCTCCAGCTGTGTGCGTCACTCTTTAGTGTCCCCTGGTCTCCAGCTGTGTGCGT